CCTGGGTAGGAGGGCAGGGTCCCTGGGGAGCCAGCACCACCCCAGCAGTGCCCTCGCTCCGAGTGAGGAGCATCCGCGCTGCGTTCTGCCCCCCTGGATGAGAAACGGCCTCGGTTTTCCTCTTTGGATAAAATGAGAGGTGACAGCAGGTTCAGAGGACACTGGTGGCCAGGGATGCCTTCACAAGGAGGGATGGGGATCAGCACACACGAGGAGCTGAGACAGGGCTGCCATTTCAGAGGCAAGGCCACCCCTCAGCTCTTGCACTGCCATTCAACCAGGTTTGTGACATTTTATCAGCACAATGAGCAGATTTCATAAGCCTCATTTGCTGCAGGAATTCCTCCTGATCTTCCTTTCAGGGCTTGTATTTCCTTAGGAAGTGTCACAAAAAGACTTCATATCTTTCTCTCCCCTCTGTCTTCTGAGAAGGGAATAAGCACATCCCCAAAAACATCTTCTCTACCAACAACAGTGGCGGTGGCTGGGATCAAGTTCTGTCAGGTGTGCCTCAGTCAGGAAAGGCTGTACCAGAAGCATGTGGCAGCTCCATGGCAGAAGACTGGAATTCAGTGAGGTGAGCTAAAGTTGAGGCTGCTCCAGGGCCAGGCAGGGCAGGAAGGGGCTCCAGGCCATGAGGCTCCTGCCACCTCCACCCACAGGAGCTGCCAGCAGCGAGCCCAGCTCCATGGAGCTCTCATCCCAGCTTATCAGCCTCCCCATATGGGATGCTGCAGCAGAGGGGCTGACAGAGGACTGTGAAGCAGAGCCAAGCCTGTGGCTGGCAAAGCTGAGCCCTGGCTGGCACAGCCCTCCCAGAGCAGTGGGAGTGGAATCAGTCTTGGCTGGCACAACGCACTGGAGCAGGGCTGGCACGTGTCCTGGCTGGCCACTGCTGCCCTGCAGCAACGAGCTGCAGCCTAAAGAACCCTAAACCTGGGCAACCAGAGCCCTAAACCCAACCCCTGCAGCTGGAGGAGGATGCCTTGGCAGGCTCTAAGGGCTCACCTCATCCACCACCAGGTTGTCATCACTCTTGTCCCCATCGCTGTCCTGTGAGGAGGGAGAAACGCAGAAGGGCTCAGTCAGCACAGGGAGATGCTGGAGCAGGCTCTGTGCTCTGCCCCAGAGTGACCCATTTTCTCCTGTACATCCCTCCCAGGACCCATTTTCTCCTGTACATCCCTCCCTGGACCAACACCAGCCAGTTCTGCTGGCACTGACCCAGCCTGGGGCTGAGGGGCCTCCCTGGGGCTCCTCATTTGCTTTGTTCTTGCTCCCAGCACAGCAGCCCTGTGCAGCAGAGTGGGCACAGAGCTGCCCAGCCCCCTCCCCAGCCCAGCCCCAGCCCTTGGGGCACTCACAGAATGCCCAGGCAGCTCCTTCTCCTCCCTTTTCCTCTTCAGCCCCGTGCGCTCCTCGTCCGGCAGGCTCTCGGCAGGGGAAGATGAAACGCTCTGAGGCAGAGGGGAAAAAGGTGTGAGAGCCACTGTGAGGGCAGGCAGCCACCCCTCAGCTCTCAGTGGGGCCAAACCCTGCTCCTTGACCACCTCCATCCTGCCAAAGCATCTCCCTGGCTGCTGGGAAGGAGCCCAGTACCCCAAAACCCCAAGTTAAGTGAGGGAGATCCAGCCCTGCAGAGACAACAAGCAGAAAATCCCCACTGGAGCTGTGTTTGCTTCAACTCAACCCTGCCAGGAGGTTTTGGAAGCAGAATGGGGCTGGGCAGGAAGAAGAGCCCTCCCCCAGGGGTGTCACACATCCCCACACCGGTGACAATGCAGCCAGAGGTGACAGAGATGCCCCATGGCAGAGCTCCCTGCAGCTGATGGCTCCTGGGTGTGCCTGGGCAGTGATGGCATCACAGACACCTCCTCTCCTTCCTCCTCTCCTTCAGATCAATGCCTGCAATTCCCCAGCAGAGATCATTAACCCTTCCTTCCCCTGCCTGGGCCCTGGATTCTGCAGAGCTGCTGTGGAGCTTGGGAAGGGACTCACAGCTCTGGGACTGGGGGGATCCTAAAAGGGAGGGGGCAGCCAAGGACTGCAGAGGGGCTGAGAGTTCTGAGCCCTGTTCAGAATGATTCCTAAACTGGAAACTCCTTGAAAAGGACAGAGCTGGTTATTTTGGGAGCAGCCCTTGATCTTTAGCTCCTTGCATCAGCAAAGACTGAATTGAGGTGGCCCAGAAGCTTCAGTTACAAAACCCTGATGCAAACACAGCCCACCCAGGCCAGCAAAGCTCACCCAGCAGCCCCATCCCTTCCCAGGAGCCAGGGGCCAGCTTGGAGCACACTGGAGATGCCACCAGGGCCAGCTGAGGCCACTGGCCTGCCACAACTTACCCTGCTTGGGGTCAGCTCTGGATGCAGGCAGCAGCAGGGAGAACATCCCAGGTCCATGTCAGAGCAGAGGGGAGGACAGGGAGAGGGTGTTAATGCCAAGCCTGTGCCACTCATACCCAGGCAGGAAGGACAGAGGGGCACAGCAGGGCAAATCAGGAAACAGCAGGACAGATGTTTAGAAAACAAATAAAAAAAAAAATCACAACTGATTTCCCAATTTGCCCACCTGAAATGTGGATTTTGTGCTGTCTAAAGGGAGGTCAGCACTTTGGTGCTCCTCAGGGAAGCAGGGGAATCTCTATCCACCCATCTCCTTCCAAGAGCTCTGAAATCCCTTCCCCAGACATGAAAACAGATCCAAAGGCCCCAGGAGGGGAGAGCTGGCCAGCTGAGATCCCCTGAATCACACCCATCCCATTTCCTTAGGAAGCCATGCCTGAAAGCCCTGCTTGGAAATTCTCTGAGGCTTTTTGGACGTGCACAGCAAAGCAAGTCCACTTCCCTGAGCCCAGGGAAGGAGTGCCAGGCATTTACTGCAAACCCAAGCCCAGGGAACACATTTACTGCAAACCCAAACACAGGGCTGTGGGCTGGCCCTCAGCAACCTTCCCTGGCTGATTTTTGCTCCTAAAGATCCACCAGCATTTAGAGAGAATGAGTCCAGGTCCCTGCTGGCAAGGAGAGGCAGGCAGGGATGGGAAGCTGAGGGATTCCTGTGGGCACTGCTCCAAGGCCATGGTCTGGAGTGGGACCAGATGCTTGCCATCAGCCCTGTGCACCCCTGGCTCAGCTTGACTCACACCAGCTCTATGGCAGAGCACTGAGGATTAACCCCAGACAGATGGAGCATTTCAATCTTTTCCTTTATTTTTTTTTTTTTTTTAATAAGGAATGGCCTTCACCACAGCCAGACACCCAGGCTGAGAGAAGTTCTGGCTGCCTGGGCTCTGAGGGTTAAGCAGGCTCAGCACAGCACAGCCTGCTTTTATTCTCTCTCTCTCTCTCTGGACTTTGTTTTCCTCCTTTGTGGAAGCCATCCTTAAAGAAACACGGGCAGGATTTGAGCTGCAGACAGCTGTGTGCAGGGAAGGGGGGCAGAGCTGCCACCAACAGCTTCCTGCTGCTCTTTTCACCACCTTGAAATCCTGCAGGCCAAGCCAGACCCTGAGAACCTGCAGCAAACCCCACCCATGCCTGGCTTTGCTGCTGCTCTGGGGTCCTGACCCAAGTGCATTTCAGTCAGCACCTTCCCCAGGGGAGTGTGCAGGGAAATGTGCAGGGAAATATCACTCCTGCTAAATCTGGCTGCCTGTTCCCAGCCCACAGAGCCTCTCTCCCTGTCCCAGCCTCCTCTCAGCACAACCACTCCATGCCTGTGCTCTGAAGAGGTGATTTGAGCTCGGAGCAGCTCCTCCTTTGTGCAACAGGCCATGAGCAGAGCTGGGCACAGTTACTCATTTGGCCCAGGCCTGGCAGTAGCATTCAGAGCACTGATTTAATGATGATTAAATATTGATGATGTTTGGAAGGCACTCGCTGATCCTGACAGGAGGAGGTGCCCATCTGGACTAGGAATTAGTGTAATTTACAGGGCACAACACACCCAATGAGGCTCTGCTTTCTGAATTCCTTGCCCCAGGTTTGTGGCTGTCACAGTTTCTACCAAAGGCTTGCAACAGAATTTTCCTTAAAAGTCTCATCTTTAAGTATCAGATCTTGGTGTAAAAAGAGAGGATTTCTTTGTGGTGGGGATCTCATGCACTGGAAACACCCAGGGGAGCAGGGAGAGCTGTGTGTGTGCACAAACACTTGCCCAGGGCTGCACACACAGCATCACTGCCGAGCAGCCACAAACACAGCCAGCCTCCTGGGGCTGCAGGCATTCCATTCCATGAATTTGCCATCCCTGGGGATGCAGCAGCCAGCAGCCTCAGCAAAGAGGAAAAACAGCATCCCAGCCTTTCAAGGGTTAACCCAGCCGTGCTTCTCCCCCTTACCTCTGCTCTCCCCATGCTGGGCCACTCTGTGCTCCTTGGCCAGCTGAACCTGAGCCATCAGCACCCCGGAGAGGGCCAGGAGCCCCGAGCTGGCCGTGCTCA